TGAAGGGGAATCTTTTCTCAATCAGTTCAAAGACAGTGATGTATTTTCTGTTGTACTTCAGGAATAGAAGATCCCAAGCTGAATTACATATATATATATATATATATATATATATAGTGTGTTTGTATTTTTTTTTTATATAAAAAATAGTAAAAAAGTATTCAAAAATAAATTTATATATTGAGTTGAAACAGGGTATACAACTATTGTTTTTCGACGAGTTTTGATGAGTTTTTGATAGAAAATAAACACTTTTATCAGTTTTTATTGTTATAAGGTAGGCCTTGAGCCAAGTAAACATGATTTTCGGAATCAGCATAGAAAACTACGTTTATTCATACGCGTTTTAGCAAATCGTTTTTTCTTTCAAAAAGTGACCCGTGGTCTTCTGCAACTATATTTCAAAAAAAATTTTCTCTGTCATTCTTCAGATGTCACTTTGGCTCAAGGCCTGTATGATGACAATAATAAATGTGGAAACCTCGGATTTAAATCCGAGAGTTTTGTGTACTTCAAAAAGTAAATGAAACAGGTGAGTCATCCTAGAATGTGTGGACATAAAAATTATCCTGGCAAACCTTTACTATAAACACTTGATTTCTATTGGTTACTGCTCAATCAATGGGATTTCGAGACAAGTGAAGCACAGATTCAAGTTTTCCGCCCCAGAAAACCTCGAAGTATCATTTCTGTGATCGGAATATAGAGCTCTAATTGTGGATCAATTAGAGCGTGAACAAAAACAGAACCAATTTCCGTTTAATTATCTTTGTAATAGATCAGTAAACCTTATTGTTTCTTTATGTTTTATATAGTATTTTGTAGCTCGTGAAATTCTCTATCGAATGGTAAATAATAATTGGGGCTTTATTTGACTATGATAGAAAAATTTTTTCACGAAAACGGGGATAGTTCGATCTTCGCATAGGAAAGCATAGGGAATAATAGCTATTATTGCAATAACTCAGCAATAGCTCGGCCAATCATTCTCATCTTTGAACTCGACCGAGATACTGTTGAGATCAAGCTGTGTAGAAAATTTCATCGCAATCGGACTCTCCTTTCAAAAGTTATCGTGTAAACGGCCGGACGGCCAGACACACTGACCGATTCTAGAGTGTACTCACTTTTTGAGTACACAAAAATAAATTGAAATCATGTTATATAAGTATATTCTCCAATTAAAAAGAAATAGAATATACATTTTAAATAAATTAAATATGATTATATTCAGATACATTTCCTTAACTTTCACTTGTATATCCTTGATTTCACTTTACATACATAATACACTTTTAAAGCATAGTCTATTACTTTCTCTTTGAAAAATAGTAACTTTTAACTTCTTCACAAGCAAAAATACTTCAATATAGCCTTGACCATTTTACATGTGAAACACTCGAAAATACTGACATGCAAAGTGGGTCTGGTTGTCTTTTTATAGTTTCTATCCTCATCCAGACCAGCACATCCCCACATGCCAACACCCACACTGATACCTTCAAAATAAAACCGTGAAGTCCATTTAATATATTATTATTTTTCTATAGACCAGTGCCTGTGTATCTTCTGAAGGTTTCACATAGACGTATGTGCAATATGCGATAGTTCGGAAAAACAATAGGTATATATAGAACAAGACTCATAATTTAAAAGGTACTTTTGTCATACGAATTGATTTAACAATGAAGTTGCTAAGCAAAGTTGCCTATTATCTTCAGAATATATATTGATAAATGAAGTTTTGTGAAACTGTTAGACGCTGCACTAGCACATATTTCGCATTATTTTTGGCTGAAGCTTATAAAGAAAACCATAGGCTATGGATATTCTGACAATATTAATGCGTCAGTGTTTCAAAGAAGATGGGTATTACTACAAGCTGCGATTAATGAAGGCTTGTATCTCAGTGGGCTGCGGTGAATCAGTAATTTTCCGCGTCAGTCTCGTACTAGCGACATTATTACCAGTGCAGCAAAGTCGATGATGTCAGTGCCAGCATTTCAGTATTTTCACTGAAATCGGACATCCTACGGTTGACCCAATACAGTATATAGCTCAAATATTAATGTTTTTGTGAAAATGAGTGCTAGTCCGATACAGATTCTACGTAGTTTTTTGAGAAATTCATTTATGAAGTCAATATTTAGCTCTCTATGGAATGGACTCTTCCACAAAAATTATACTAGTATTCACCTCAAATTTCATTAGAACTTTACTATTTTCGCTATTTCAGTCAATAAATATATAGGCAAATATATTTTTTTGATCATTTCATAAATGACATTAGTATTTACCTGGACTCAATTCAAATAAGTATACATTTTCCGCAGAAAGGTTAGTAGTAAGATGTGGTATTTGTTTCCATCGGGATTCAGCCTTGACTCCATTTGTGACATTAGCTACTACCATTCGAATATCTTTGTTTGGAGTTCCAATATGTTCCAGTAGATGTTTTGTAAATAAACCATTTCTTTCATTAGGTACATCATTTGCTATTGTTCCGGGTGCGCAGGCATATGCAATTAACATTCCAGCTTTTACGATCATTTCTTTTAAACCAATCGGGTTAGAAGTATTTGAATTAAGCGAACGTGCTGTCGCTTTGATCAATGGTTCACTGCGTAAATAATATGTCCTACAACAGTCCAATAGAATTATCGTTGCAAAAGGATGACGACTATCGATATTCTCCAGAAATTTTTGTAAATGAACCGCCTGTTCGTGTATATTGGTATCCTGTATTTCGCCATCATCCTTTGGTATAAGAAAGTTCTGGTCCTATATGAGAGAAAAACTAGAATCTTCTTTTTAAATACCACAATGTAAAGAATGAAATTTTATCATTATAAAAACAAAACGAGATTCATAGCCGGATTTGCTCATGTCCCAATTATAATTTACTTAAAAGTCAAAGATTTTGATACGTACTTCCCATTGTGTTCCATGTCCAGCAAAATAAATTAGGACCATGTCTCCTTGTCTTATGCTATCTGTAAACTTTCCTAGAATATCTTTCATATTTTCGTATGTCAAGTTTAATTTTGGTTCGTCTATTATAAAACCTATATCACCTAACTTTGATGACATATCACGTGCATCATTTATTGTATTAGGTAATCTGATATTACGCTCATAATCACTAATGCCAATGGCAAGTGCCAACTTGCGATGCGATCGAAACATTGTATTTTATCAATATAGTGTGGCCTTGAGAAAACAAAATCAATCTAAAATTATTCGTTTAGTGACGATAAGTGTGTGCTTCTTAAGAGCCATATCACTTAAGCCACGACCCCTTACTATAGAGGCTGCTCAATCGATTTTTTCAAATTCCGTTTTCACATACATATTTCAAAAGTGTACCAATTAGTGAGTCTTTTGCTACTAAGCGCACTTTGATAGCTCAGAGTATCATCGAGAAATTCAATTTTTAATTTTAGGCCATTTTTCTTCGTCTCACGTTGTTGATCTACCCCGTGTCTACTAAGAAGCGTGTCATATTCGAATGAGGCGACATCGAATGATAAAAATTTCAGGATGGAAGAAAATTGAATAGCTCTACAAAATAGAATAATCCCGAGCTCTAGATGTTGCTTTATGGCTGAGTTATAGATGTCGCTAGTAGCTGAATTTCAACAGTCGATACCTATTGCGTAACCAAAGCAGTGAGACTGAAACTGTTAAAATAAATACTAGGTCGATGAGGCTATATAATGATCAAAAGAAAACTTTGGGTAGTGCAATAGAAACCGAGATATGGATATTCTATGAAAATTCACTGCATTTTCGACTGGTTTTTACACATTTTCGCCATATTTTTGAAAGGAAAACTAAAAATAAACATCATGTTCGGTATCAACATCAAAAACTGCGTCTAATCATATATATTTCATAGACAAAAAATTATCAAAAAGTTACCCCTACTCCCCATCAGGTACTTTTTATAAAATTTTCGCCTATGGTCCCCCTCAGGTAAATTTTTCGATAGAATTTTTTTGTCTATGAAATATACATGATTAGACGCAGTTTTTGATGCTGATACCGAATATGATGTTTATTTTCAGTTTTTCTTTCAAAAACATGGCGAAAATGTGTAAAAACCAGTCGAAAATGCAGTGAATTTTCATAGAATATCCATATCTCGGTTTCTATTGCACTACCCAAAGTTTTCTTTTGATCATTATATAGCCTCATCGACCTAGTATTTATTTTAACAGTTTCAGTCTCACTGCTTTGGTTACGCAATAGGTATCGACTGTTGAAATTCAGCTACTAGCGACATCTATAACTCAGCCATAAAGCAACATCTAGAGCTCGGGATTATTCTATTTTGTAGAGCTATTCAATTTTCTTCCATCCTGAAATTTTTATCATTCGATGTCGCCTCATTCGAATATGACACGCTTCTTAGTAGACACGGGGTAGATCAACAACGTGAGACGAAGAAAAATGGCCTAAAATTAAAAATTGAATTTCTCGATGATACTCTGAGCTATCAAAGTGCGCTTAGTAGCAAAAGACTCACTAATTGGTACACTTTTGAAATATGTATGTGAAAACGGAATTTGAAAAAATCGATTGAGCAGCCTCTATAGTAAGGGGTCGTGGCTTAAGTGAAATGGCTCTTAAAGAGAAGAAATCCATTGGAAATCGAGAGGATGAGCAGGAAGTGAGTGAGAGTGTGAATGTAAGTGTTAGCATATCAAGTATATCAATATTGACATCTACACCTCATACTCAAGCCCATACTAGTCCTTCAAATGTGGTTAAGCGTTCCCCTAAAAGGATTTTTGCCCAAGCATCCAATCCTGATCAAACTTTGGAAAAGTACGTGTTTTAAGTCTGACAACTCACAATAAAAATATTTCAGCCCAATAGGTTGCGTTCTCAAAAACTTAGCGTACGAGTATGGGTGAAGATATAAGTGTCCGTCCGTCCAAAATTCCTCAGTCATGCCAAACAATAGAAAACTGGGATTCATTTTAAATTGTAGTCAACACCTGGCGCTATAACTTAACAAGGATCCTTTTTTGAGTTTTTTTTCTATTTTGAATTTCCAGAACCTTGGGTTCGCAAGATTAATTACTTGTTAGCAAACGTTGAAGAGTAAATTGAAAAATTGGATTCTATTAAGTTGTGGAGCTTAACATTATCTACATTTTGAGAACAATCCCAGATTTCTGGTATTTTAATTGGCAGAGCAATGTGTGAGGCAAGAAGGCATAAAAGTCAAAAATCCTAATCTGAGAGAAATGCAAAACTAGGGTGTGGGTGTGTGGTTATGGGTGAGAGGGTGTTGGTGTTTGGGAGTGCGCGTGGCAAGCGTCTCAGAAGAACGACTCCACACCTGTACCCACACCCACACCCACACCGACACCCAAATTCCAATATGTTGTAGAAGGTGTTTCGTAAATAAACCGTTTCGTTCTTCTGTGAAGTCAATGGCTATAGCTTCAGCTGCACATGTAAACATAATGAACGATGATCCTCCATTAACGTACATTTCTCTCAAGCCAACCGGTACTGGAGTACTTGAAGTTGTGGCTCGAGCACCTATAGTCATCAAATCACTGTTACGAAGATAATACTGTCTGCAACAATCCAATAAAAATATGGTCACCAATGGATTCCGGGCGATCAAATCGTTCAACAATCCTTGTGCGCAAATTGCACGCTTTCCCAAACTTTTAGCAATAATGTTGGTATCATCAAGTAAGTTGATATCATCAAGTGGTATCAGAAAGTTTTGATCCTAGAACAATGAAACATACAATTATCTTTCAGAAAGTGAAGTGTGGCTGATTAGATGTTTAGCCAAAATAAATGATCGTTCGCTAAGACATATGAACTGGACACAGAATACTAGTGTTTCTAATTACTACATGTAAAGAAATATTAACATGTTTCGTTGCCTGCATAGTTCTTCCTTAGTTGACTTTCTAAACAATCAAGTCGCTATGGGAAGAGACAGTGGTGATTGAAAACACTTATTCACATATTCACTTACGCTCACCCTACAAACACTGTTATATTTTTTCTTTGCGAAAAACAATATTTCTTCAACATGGTAATATGATATTTCGAAAATTAAACCAGGAACAACACTAAAACAATATCTTTTATCTTAGTACTCTCACCGATCATCTTTCGACTTTCGCGTCATTCGACGTGCTTCCTTCTGTTTTTCGACATATTGAATTTCCACGAAATTTCAGGTTTATCTATCATTCATGTTCTTAACAAAGAATTAGCTTATAATCCTAAAGTTATTAATATCATCAATGTTCTTCATAAATCATTCAACAGACCATATGAATTACCAGACTAACTTCTCGTTGAAAAAACTTGATAAAAAATAGCATTCACTATTGCGTAAGCCTATTTGTAGTAGTTTAGAATTGTTTCTGGTTTATTTTCCCGTATATTTATGGAAGAAATAAAAATATTATGGGGAAAGAAAAGAAAGTTCGAGCCAAGATTGACTTGTGAACAATACTCAGACAGAAGTATCTTTACATGCACGCAGAAGAGAGCACAAGAGGGAAGAATAGAAAAACGAACAAAATGATACAGAGAGCAACTACTGATAGTGATGTGTATAATTGATGAATCTGTCATACTACTGTCGATTTATATCAGTAACAGTACTCTGAATCAGATGCGAGCATGGACTAAACTTTTCTGTCGTATCCTGCCCTCCTCGGCTGCTTGCTCTGTCTTGTTTGATGACAGCATACGGCCAAAATTAAAATGTTGCCCTGTCCCGTCCTGTCCTGTTCTTGGATCCGCTGTAGTTGCTTACTTTAGCATCAGTTTCAAATACAATAACTACAGCTTCCAAGAATGAATACCATTCTAAATATAAGTAAACGAAACCCCCCCCCCCCCCCTCAGAATAAAAAGGCATGGCCTTCTATTATGTCCCAGTGAATCGGTCTTTTTTGGGTGGCGTTATATTATGTCTTGTCGGAAAGTTTTTCGCATTTTTCCTTGAAAATGGTATGGCGCTATATTATGTCCAGAGAATCAAACGGTCCGGAGTGGCCTTCTATTCCGGGTGCCTTTCTATTATAGGGTGGCGTTCAATTTTGTGGGGGGGGGGGGGGTAGATAATTCTTTAAAATTTCTAATGCTAATCATACACTCCTCGCATAAAATGAAGGTAAAAACTCATGGGCTCATGAGATTTGCTCATCAAATCTTAAGACATAGTAGGTACTAATAATAAACAAGAAGCGGAAAAGCACTTGGTCGAAGCTCATTAACGCGAATTAAACTTGAACAAAAATCAGTGGCAAACTCGCCATCTGCCGAGATTTAGGTAGTTTTCGATTTAATCTATAAGAAGCTAAAGATAAAAATAGATATAAATTGCTACTCGTCCTTATTTTTTTCAATTTCTGTATCTTTTAATCTTTATGAATCTTTATTTTAAATTACTTGAAGTTCAAGTTTGTCTAACTCATAAAAAAACAAAAAAAGACTAAACGCTTATATAAACGTGTTTCAGTATTTTGCAGTGACTCAATTCAAAAAATATCATCGAATGGGTCAGAATTAATACAGGTTGTTGTTGTCGGGATAATCGATGTGGTCTCAAAAATTATGTCTATTACAGAGATGAGCTCCAGATGACTTTTCTACCCTATCCTGCCGTGTTCTACTACCTCACTCTATCGTGACGGACGACAGGACAAGACCCAAATTTAAATGTTGCTCGCCGCTCGTTTCTGCTCTGGAAAAATGCTTGCGACCATAACTTGGAAGAAGAACATATGATACTCGAATGTCAAGCCTTGTAATATGACTGATCCACTTTACTTTGATGTATTTGAATTGAAAAATAAAGTTAGACATGCGAGCAATTACTACATTATTCTGATTGCATATCCTTTAATATTTTAAGTACTTTTTTCATACCTCCCATTGCACTCCGTGTCCAGCAAAATAAAATAAAACCATGTCTCCTTCTTCTATTGACCGCTCAAAATCAGCTATGGTTATTTTCATTTGTTCACATGTCAAATTTAATTTCGGTCCGCCAGTAGTAAACCCAATCCTTTTTAGTTCTGATGACATGTCATTTGCATCATTGATTGTGTTTTTTAATTTACTGCCGCTTTTATAGTCATCAATACCAATTACAAGTGCCAGTTTACGACGTGGTTGAGATATATCATCAATTTCTGAACAAGTTGCCATAAAAAGTGTTCTCAATCTTAAAAGAAATGCATTTATGAGAGTGGCTGTGGAGAAGAGTGCGTTAGTGGCACTCTAAGTCAATTCAGATTAGATAATATTGTATTAACTGCACATTTGCGTCGCGATCTGCCATCAGATACGAGGCGTCGTGATCGCATGGCTATGCTTTAATATGCCGGACTTCGATGATATCTTTGGCCAGTTCGTAAATATTTTCGTTGAGTTTCTTTTCAGTTTTCAGAGATTTTCTGACGGGATCTAGTGAAGCTTCTGTTTATTTCGATTTGTGAGGTGCTAGGAGGCTATCATTGATCTGCAAGCCATATGAAGGATAATTCTTCCTTCACAATACCGGATAGCTAAGCAATTTATGAACTCAATGGGAGATATTATTTGTCGCTTACCCGTTTTTAAACACACTAGATAATCTTTTCTTCTTTGATCATTTTGTTTCGTTTTTGCTTACATAGATGCTGTTCATTAGTAAAAATAATTATCTTTCCAACTCACTTATCCATATTATGCGATAGAGTTTGGCTCTTGTTTCAACAGAAAACACCAGATTTCACTATCTAAAAATAGATTTAATAAGCTAAGACTTCAAATTCTATGAAAGAAAGATTCATTGTGAGACTTTTATGGAGACAAGAAGAACCGTTGAACATTTTTTTAGGAAAGCAAGCTAAACTACTACAGTATAATGTTAATTAAGATGAGGAACTGAATACATGTTGTCGCTCTTGTCGCATTAGTTCTTTAAAGTCAAAAAAATCCATATCCGATTTTGGATCAAAATGGCCAATAGATCGTTCATCATTTGCAATATAATCAAAAAATTCATAATGTTCTTGGTCTTTTGGTCCATACGCATAACATTGAATTGAGACACAGCATTTTCCATATAGATCGACATGCTTCACTTGATGAGTCTGATTTAATGATGGTGCCATCCATGTTACTGTTCCTTCATGGCATATTTGTTCAATAGGTTTATATTGTGGCATGTTAAGAGTTAAAGCTGGATAGAGTTTCACTAAAATTTCACCATACAGTACTCGAATAATACCATATGCATTGCCATGATTATGTATAGGACTGAAATGTCCAGGAGGCCAAACTTCAATGACAAAACTATGACCTGGTGCAATTCCTTCACGTTCACCTACTGTAAGGCGTAAATAAGTGGCCTTAATATTTGATTTACCAAAACGATTTGCTTTCTCAATTAACTTTTTGTGACACCAGCCTTTTGGATTTTTTATACTTTTGTCAATGACACTAGTTAAATCGGGAAAATCATCTGCATTTAATTGAAAATTAATAATAGTATCATATAGATGTTTGCATGGCTTTTCTAACTTTGATGGTGGAATACATGTGGCAAAAGCATAATTTTCAAGATTATATTGATGCTGTGGCACAATAAATAATGGATAATCATAAACAATCGGATTTTTAGAAATATAAAAACGGATCTGGTATTTTAAATCAGCCAATTCAGTCAACATGTTCTCATTGCTATTCATTTTAACGTGTAAATAACAGATATTTTTCATTAAACCTGATTCATTTTCTGTAATATTGGTATTGAAAATAGAAAATAATGGACGAATTTCACCAATGCCATATTGAACATTTCGATTAGCTGCATATAAGCTAATCCAATATCTATGCCAACACCCTTGTTCTGATTGTAGTACATGAAAAGATTCTGTTGATGTACATAATTCAGTAGTACTTGTTCTTAATGTAACATTATTCTTATTAACTGAAAGTATTATTGAATAGGCTTCCGAATCATGAGGATCACTTTTGTTTGATAGATGTAATTCGAATGGTACCGACTTTCGTTGCATTATTTCGATAACACCTTGCCCTGGAATAGCAAGTTTATTTGTACAATTATTCGATCTCCATGGACACCAAAATTCTCCTTGCCGTATAAACCAATTAACATTAGTCGTGTTCTCTTCGATCGAAGAACTAACTTGATTTGATGCTGGAACCGCAATCGGAGCTGTACTCGAAAAGAATATAAAAATTTCAAACTATGATTCAGAATATAAGTTTTGTTATTCTCCAATTTGAAGCAAAGTTCTTTTTATCATAGGAAGAACCACTATGGGTAAATAGATGAATCTCTCAAAGTAGTATCGTGCATATTATCAATATATACTTAGTTACAAACAACAGTCTAAAGAAATCGAGATCTTCGAAATCGATTCTATCGAATGCACCGCAGCATATCATCAACACTATTATGTATGAAAACTAGCTATTTATTTCGTTCAACACTTACTAACATATACTGATTGTTCTCTATTCTGAGCTAGAAGTGTAAGAAAAGGGCTATGTTTAAGGTATCGGTATAATTAAATACGACCAAGTAGTTTCCTACAGATATATGTACAACATGAATGGCTAGAGTTGTTTGAAAGAAGCAGAAACTGAAACGTATCGTTAAAGATAAGATTTGGCTATGCATCTTATCAATGTTCTATAAAATTTATCTCCAGGTTTTTTGAATCTACTAAGTATTAGAAAATCAAAACCAGAACCTCAAAGTTTCAACTATCAACATTCGACAGAAATGGCTAACAGTAGAATGTTTATTATTCAAAACGAAAAACACTTACATAAGCTGTTAGCACAATCCCTTGCGGGATTAAAAATGTGAAACACGATGGATCTATTATTACTAATCAAATGAACATCTTTTTGTTGCATTTCCTCATGATAGATTTGTAGTTTACCATTTATTTGATGCTTCAAAGCTACAGTTTCCCTGTAGCAGTCTTTGATAGGCTCTGGAATTTTTCTGTCACGGTCTGTGACGGGTCTCTGGAGTTCTCTGTCAGTCTGTGATGGGTATGAATTTTCTCTGTCACGGTCTGTGGGGGGGATGGGGGGAGTGGGTCCAAAATTTCAACCCTAAACACTTCAACACTCCTTTCAGATCGTGTTTCACAAAATATTAGAATTGGATTAACCAATGAATAATAAATCAGTAAAATAAGTTCTTCTAAATTTTATTAGAGTCTCCTCCTTGCCATTCCTAAATCTTCTAGTCGAACGCTTGAAATGTCTGTAGAATCGTCAGAATATTGAGAGATCATTCATGAATCATCGAAGACTAGATTGTGGTATAAAATCATTGGTTTTTTCGCGTGATTTTGGGCAAAAATCTAATAATGACAACTGTATTTTACATCATCATTGTCAATACTTGTATGATCCTCAATCAATAATGTTATACTTTATGACATTTCATGCTTACTGCTCTAGTTCTCTAGAAGTCTTAAAATACAAGTTTCACCAATGTTAGCGATGTCCAATTAATACTTAACTCTCGCTTTTAATGACCGTGTTTACATGAAATGCGGTCGAAAACCATACATCAAATATCATATGTAGTTAAAACAACATATTGATACACTGACTCGATTGGTTTCATTTACTTCTACCATCATATTGTTTTATTCTCTTGAATAATACAATATTTGAACGTCGAAAATGTAACATAGGTTACAGATGTACTACGTTTGACTTTAGCTTCATTTTCATTTTTATTAAGTCGGACATTACAATCTAATTTAGAAAGAAGTATTAAAACTGACCTGTGGCCAATCGTGATTGTGGTGGTGTTGTTGTTGATGCAGACATATTTGATTCAGTAAATGGCATCCATATTCTTGATTCGATTGATTCTGTCTGCTCTTCTGTTTCTCTTTCTACTTCGACTGGATTCAAAGGTGCTTCCGATGACATTTGTTCAACTACTTCAAAGACCAATTTGAGCCATGACACTTCTTCACCGTGGTTCTCATCGAAGCGATAATATGCATCGTCAGCATGTTTCCAGTCGCATGAGCAAGACTCTGGTGCCTGACTTTGAGAACGTTTTATTCCTTCATATCTCCACCAACAATTATTGAAGCTACACGTGACCGGTTCAACATACTGTTTACATATGGGACATTTGGTCGTAGCTAGACCCACATCAGATAACATATCAAACCTTCTGAAACCCAAAGACATGATAACTGTACGGTTGAAAGCTTCACAGGCAGAAGTGGGGCATTGACCTTCAAGACATAAACCCCGTCTGGCTCTTCGCCATCGTGGAGCTGTTGTGGCCCATTCTATTCGCATCAAACTGTTATTTTTGCTAACATCGACAAACTTCAACCCGTAAAATACATGAGGCGAGCGATATTGGTCATTAAAATCTATTAGTTCCAGTATAGAACCAGACTTGATGTTACAATCAGCTATTGTATCTCGATCGTCAAGCTGTTCTTTGTTGAATGTAAGGCACGTTGTTTCAACATTGTAACCCGAGATTCGTGTACACAGACGCTCTTTTAACTGTTGAATTGTCGTAGATGATTCGACGACCTCAGGATAAGTTAGTCCATGTCCAGTTAATGTTTTGATATAAATGTTCATGTTGACACCGTTCTTAAAAACAAATTAAAAAAAAAACAAAGGATTAGTTTCCAGATTCTAAATCTCAGGAAGAGAAGACATTGTTCTCGTATTTCGACGCACTGTGTTCTATAGTATCGCAGTTTTCTCTTAGAAAACAGCCAATTTTTCTCAAAAGCATATCAGAATATACCTTTTAAAATTTTGTTTATTTTTTAATTAAGAGTCATTTTTTTTCAAATAAACTAAATAAATATTCACATTTTTATTTTGAGTGATAATACAGTTACAACTAAAGCAAAATGTCTATTATGTTAGAATGACAATCTATGCTTAAACGTGGTTCCAGATGTGGATGCATGTTAGTATTTGTGTCCTTCTGGACGAGGAATGCAATACGATTTTATCTACAAACATACACATTCTGTAGTGGATTTACTGAAGGCGGTACCATTTTTAAATGATTTCATCTGATTATTCGATTTGACATGTAATCGCTAAAACAAATAGTCGTGAGGTGTGGATAGGTATGTTAGCAATAATATTGGTTAAACTGAAGAATAGAGAACAATATTCATACTCGCATTCACGCCCACATCTACCCTTATTGTCTTCACTTGAAAAGTATCATTTGTCACCATGTTATTTTTAGATTTCAATGATATTTATCAGAAGTCCATTGACTAGCATGTGGATGAAAATAGTATTCTTAAATCTCTCTATTTGTTGTTTGTCAAATAAGAAAAAGATGATAAATGACGAAGCGAAAATCGAGACAATAAACAAATAATATGATATGCTTTTTTAAAATATAATCTCTTATACTTCTCAAAGTATTAATTGAAGTTTAAGAAATACTACTTTTTTATTGTATTAGTTTTCGAGTAATTTAGAAAATAGAATAATTACTGTCAACTTCAGCTACTATAATTACTTCTGAAGTATTACAATAAATGGATATTAGATAAGTGAATATCAAGTATTTAAATCTCGATGGTTGTCTAATTAGCAAACATCTAAGAAGACAATTATATTCTGAGATGAATGTATTTGTTTTCTGTATGTGTTTATATAGTCACGGCTGGTGAGCGACAGTAAAAACATATTAAGAGATTTAATTATGGTATATGAAAAAACAAACATAATCACGATGTATTCTATGGTTCAATGTTTTGCCCATTATATATGACATAATAAAATATATATTATTGTTACACACGGATAATTTTCCATTCTTAGATACTGTTCTGACGGTTTGTCATAGCCATACATATTGTTCTGGATGTTCTCTTTCGAATAAGACTATCTCATGTCCGTTTTTTTTTTATTTTTAGTTTTTTTCTGCTTCTGTTCTTCTCAAGTCAATATAATAAGTTATTGGCTTGGATCTCACAATTGTCTATTACACACTTCGTAATGTACGTGGCGCAGACGAAAAAAAAATGACATCTTTCAAAATATTTTATTAATGTTATTTAAAAGTATGAAATCGCTTCTCAAATGCTCACTAAAAGAGTCATTTTACTGCTAACTCATTCAAAAATATTCTATCGTCTAATCAGCTCGATAGTGGTGCTAATATCACAAGCAAATTACCTAATACACGTACCATTTTACATAATCATTAGGATCACTTAGATTTCAAAGCTACGGACTTAAAATTGAAAGAATATTTCCTAAACTGTCTTGTTGACTCTTTAAGACACTTAGATATAATCATGTCAATACTAGAAATCAAATCTTTGCGTATGCATGTTTGAAGTAGTTATAAATGCAATCGATAGTCAAAAAATGTCTCTCCTGGTTCTTCTAAAATGTGCACTTTAAGTTCAAGCATTCTGTCATGATATTTAAACATATTTATGATTATGTGGAAAAATCTACACTTATAAATCCTATTCTTTGCTACAGTCTATTATTAGGACTTTGTATTTCATATTCTGGTTTCTTTAACAGTTTTACTATAAAAAAAACATATTAGAAGATGCAGCGTGTAAAGAGTGCTAGTGGACAATAGTACCAATCGATGCGGAAATTGTCCCCATTCATGATGAAATAGTGCAGCCAATAAAAAGTCATGTATATTCAGGAGAAATGCATAAAAAAAAATAGCATACCTATGAATCATTCTTCTTCGACAAATATTCAAATTTCAGCAAAAGATATTCTCTCTTTGGAGAAACTGATCAACAAGAAGAAATTAAAAAAACAACTGCAAAGATATAATTATCGTTCACTATGATCTCAGGTATGTTTGAGTTCCCTCAAACGATTTCATTACTTTCAACAAGAATATGATCCATTTCAATCAAAAAACTATTTATTTCTATTACCTACCACAGAAACAGATCAGACATTTTCACTAGACAAATTTTCACTTCCTTTGATTAAAAACGATTTCTACCAGACCATCTTCGGCCTCCAGACGTTTCGTCGCTATCATTCCGAACATTCGGTGTTAAAGACGGATGTTCAGAATGAATTATGTCAATTGTTAGAGTTACAAAAGGTAGATGTTCGTAAGAGAAACTACTGGATGTTCGGAACGCAAGCATAGGAACGTTCGAGACAAAACAAATGGTGTTGAAAACGGACTTAGATATAGAGCTGTAGAGAAAGGAAAGTAGATTTCATAATCTCGATCGTGAAAAAATCCAACAGAAACGGTATCAATCACTTTGATGAACAGCCAACACAAATAGCCAGTTTGCCTTCTGTCTATTGAAGGATGCTTATTTACTCGGTGTTGTCATAAATAGGTTGGCTGGTTCTTTATTTTGGCAGCAGCGTGAGGTACAAATTTGTAAATACCTAGGACTGTATAACTTGCTCTTCATCTATCATTTCATTCCTTCATCATCAGCACTCACGCGTCTATAAGTTCAGTTTATTCGCGATTTCTCATTTCGAAATTTTTAATGCTATATCTCAAAAAAACCCTGTAAGAAGTTTTCGAGTTTTCTATCACCCTTCGCTAAATCGCTGTGCAATCCAGAGATGTGCGGGGCATTGAACTTTAATGTCACCCAGGTTTCATCCCGTGCAATTTCCTAACCCGTCTCGCCAATACCCGTAGGGTGGGTGTGGGTATGGGTGAGGAGTGTCGGCGTCGGTGTGGACGTGGGTGTGGGTGTGAATGAAGGTAACATAAGCACCTACCTAAAGCCACACTCGCCCACATCCACACCGCCAACCCGCACCCACACCCGCACCCTTAAGAATATTTGAAAATGAAAAATATGTAATTATTAGGAGGATGACAGTTCAGGAATAGTTCCGAACTGGAGAACGGTTCGAACAGTTCTTCCGAACTGAACTGAACTGAACTGTTCGGACAGTTGATCCGTTCGTTTCAGTCCAGTTCGTGAGCTGGAGCTGTCGTAGTCCTAGTAATTATTTCTTTCTTTTATTTATATTCACCGCAACCTTATATAGGAAGCTATGTTGAACAGCGATTCGGGGCATTCATTTCATCTGACAGAATTTTCCTTCTCATAACAACGACAAATTTAAAGAACTATTTGTGTCATGGTCTACAACTGTTGATGTTCTTCTAAAGAAGAGCGAATTCAAACTGATTTAAATTAAGCTTCATTGAACGTTCAGATTGCCAAACAATCTGTTTATTAAACAAAACTTTTTTCTGAAGCTTCATTCGAATCAATTCGAATCCGCTCTTCTTTAGGAGAACATGGACAGTTGTAGACTGTGACATCAACAGTTCTGTAGGTAGGTTGTTTTCATATGAGGGGGAACAATGTCAGGCAAAACCGATAACCGTGAAAATTGATCTACATGATTGTGCCAATAGGCACTAATAGATATACATATGCATGTATATACTTGTATGTGTGTGTTTATATGTTAATCAGAGATGATTTTTATCCATGTGGATGTCATCCCTAGTTTACATTGCGCTAATATGATGTAATTAGCGTGATTGACTAATTCTTGTCCTTGTTCTGTTCAACAAAATCTGTTCTATTTCTTTTGGTGTAACTTTCATCATTCTCTCTCTCTCTCTCTTTATATATATATATCTTTTCCTCTGTTCTCTTTCCTTCTCTCGTATACCCGTGTGCTCTAATTGATCACTATATAAGAAGATGAAGAAAGTAAGAACAGAGAGCATTTCCTTTGTAAAACATTCTTGGAAATATCTCCAGGGACAGACTCGAGGATAGAATAGTGAAGATAACATCGATGATATACTGAATATATCGATAGTACTATTCTTCCAGTTTGTTCATTGTGATCACAATTTGATTCGAAGAATAAAAAAAATGCTGTAGCTTTAACATCACAATCCGCCAGTTTATTATATTATTATTTTACGTTACAATGATAAATTAGTTTCATATACATTTCTTAAACTCTGAAACGAGTACTAGAAACTGCAACGTATGATAAACCCTTACAGAGCTTATTGATTTCCTAAATCATTTATTAAATTCTTAAATATGGTTTAGGAAAATTTTATATCCAGTAAAAAGAGATTTTTACATGCTGCACTTTCAAAAACCCTTTTAGAGTTCCCTATTCTACGGATTTTTTTAAAATAGTGTATTCACTCTCACTCTTATGATGTGTACTAGAACCCGCATCTGAAAGATAGAAAAAACGAAAGAAAAAAAAATACTTGACCGTCTCAATAAATATAACGACGATGGCATAGGAAAGACATATTGTTTTCACAATGATGCATAGAATACTTAGGAGAACCTTCATCTTAATGATAGAAAAAAACAGAAAGAAAAAATGGCAATGTATACATCAGACATACTATCGGCAAGTAATAAAAGAGAAGAACAGGCTAGACTATATGATGATGTTACATTATTGTAAATGATATTTGTTCTTTCTTTCTCTCAACTGTTGTCTAATGGGGATATTGACCAACTAACTCGAAGAAATATCGAAAAAAGCAAGAACAAGAAATGAATAAGCCTTTAATCTTGACGTAAAAGCAAAGCGCAAAAAAAGCAGACTAAAGATAGAATGAAAGTAAGAGAGAAAGAAAAGCAAAAGGGAAGAAATCAACCTAGAAACTAAATTACTCTGATTAAAAAAGACAGGAATAATCTATCTACTAATCAACGATACATATTCAGTAAATAAAGGAAAAAAGCAAATGCGATAACAGTTACAATGTCACATGTTAATAAAAAGAAGCCCTTAGAGTAGTACGCATGATAAAATAGAAGACACTTATGGTAACGGCTACACTGTAGACTTAGTTGAGACATTCGTACGAGCGTCTGCGATAGCAAAAAAATAGAGAGTACATTGACGAAAGAAAAGAGCAAAATAAGGAAAAGATAAATAATTATGAGAAGAAGAGATAAGATAGATGATGAAAATAATAAATGAGAAAAAATTAAAAAAAAAGACATAAAACTAACTAGTAAACAATAAATAAAGTAGTAATGGAGAATTCAAGGTCACACTATATACAAATATAGTGATGAATGGAAACATCAAAAGAAAAGAAGGCGACTGATTAGAATCACAAGAAAAGAGAGAAGTGTAATATTGAACACTGATCAAAGAAATAACAGACTAACACAGTATTTCTAATGACAAAGTGCGCTATACAGAGCAAAGTGCACAAAAACTTTGTTTTTTTCAATCGCACTCTGTTTCTACCTTGAATAAGAAAAGAAAGTGCGCACAGTACACTATGAATTTTA